TCACGTGCTTTCCCCATGAGTCACTCCGTTATGCTACTGTCTGTTCTTGCTTACCTGCTTTCCATTCTTTGTAGCTATTGTCGATACACATTGAGTCCCGCCGTTTTGGTGGGTGCGTGAATTTTTACCGACTGTTCATAATAAAACTGCGCGCCGCTGATGCAACGCCGCACGAACGTTCTCCCAGGCAAACTCGAGAAATTCGAATGTCTTGCCGCAGCGCGCGCTGTTTTTAAGTAGCTGCAAGTGGCTATCGTCAACATAGCTTCTAACGCGCATCACAACCTCCGGTACCACTGTACCTCAGTACTGACGCTTCGGATGTTGCACTCGGCACTGTGTTGCAGCAATGAGTAGGTGACAACTGGCAAGCGATAGCGTTCTTCTTCAAACGTTTATAACCTGCCGAATCTTGTTACAGCACGTTCGGTAGAGAATTATTCGCCACCTACTTAGGCATACCTCATTTCCGACATGTTTTAGAAAGCTGTATTTTCACCGTCTTCACCGATCACAACCCCTGACCTACGTGCTCGGCTCGACAACCGACCGATACTCTACTAGAGTCGTACCACATAGACTATATCACTGCCTTTACGATCGATATACGACATCTCTCAGGTGTCCACAACGCCGTCGCCGATGCACTTTCCCGAATTCAATCGATCTCTGCTGACGCCCGTACCGCAATCTACTTGGCAGCCGTAGACGCAGCGCCGTTCAATGATCCTGAGGTTGATATACTACGCAGGTCTCCCTCACTGGACATACGAGCCGCTCCGTTGATATCATCAGACGAACGATACATTACGTCTTATCTTTGGTCACGCTGTGCCCAGTCGTCCTATGCGAGTTCCGACAGACCGTGTTCGACACGTTACACTGCTCACCTCACCCAGACTTACGTGCGTCGATTAAACTCGTAACTGCACGATTCGTCTGCGGCAATGCCAATCGTGACGTTTGTACTTTTGCAGCTGCTTCCCCTCCGCGTCAACGTGTGAAGGTGCGAAGCACACGGAAAACCCATTAGTCACCTTGCCAACTCCAGTAGCAAGTTTTCCTCACGTGCACGTCGACCACGTAGGTCCTCTGCCGCCTTCGAAGGGCTCTGTATATCAACCGACTTATGTCGATCGATTCACTAGGTGGCCGGAAACTATTCCCAAACCTAACTGCTATTCGGAAATCGTAGCGAAAGCTTTTCTGGAGCGCTGTGTAGTTCAGTACGGCTGTTCCGCCATTGTGACTACCGAGCAAGGGTCACATTTCTCACCAGCTTTTGCCACGTTTCTTAAGGATCTGGGTTGCCGCCATGTCTAGACGACGGCGTATCATCCGGTAGCTAACGGCATGGTGGAGCGTTTTCACCGACAGTTGAATGCAGTGCTAGGTGCGCACGTAAATGTTTCATGGTCTGAAACACTTCCTTTCGTGTTCCTAGGCTTAAGAAACACGGTTAAAACCGACTTCGACGCAACGCCAGAGCATTTAGTCTACGGATGTTCGCTGCGTTTGCCTGGACAACCGGTGGCACAAGCCACGTATACTCCCTTCTTTGACTACAGAAGTTACGCTGACTGATTGGCTCACCAGAAGCTTGAGCTACGTCTGCCCGCTCTTCGATCGCAGAAGAAGCCAGTGCATGTGCCCGAGAATGTGTCTACGTGTTCACACGTCCTTCTCCGTGCAGACGGTATTAGGTAGACTCTTCATTTGCCGTACATAGGACTTTCAAAGTGTTTCGCCGTACTAATAAGACGTACATTATCGATCGCGATGGCAGACGCGAAATCGTCACTAACAAACGTTTGAAGCCCGATTTTATGGAAGAAACCACCTTGCATACTTCGTCTAGCAGTGCTCCGTGCGACGTCACAACTCGCCGTACAAAGTTTCAGCATCCTATTGTCATCGAAGCAGACTACGATCCCGGTCTATCAACAGCGACCGTCCCGACAGCTCCCGAACCTAGTCTGTCGCTCAGTTGTTATGGAGTTCTCCTCCCGAGCTATCAATGTTCCAAATCATTTCTAGTCTATCGCCTCCCACAGCCAATCGTCATGGTCAGGAAGTCCTTATCCCCTTCGTTTTTCCGATTATGCACAGTGTAAATACGTTTAGGTTTTTAGATACTGTATAAAGTTGCCCGGTTTCTGGTTGATTTACGTTTGAGAAAGGAAAAAGCAAAAACTCCTGAACAACCTCAGACAACAGAAAAACCAAAAATGTAAGCAATTTTACACGCACACCATTTGTTCGTGCTTTTTGGCGTGTCCCGCGCGTGTATTTCTGTTTTCTCGTCCCTACATGGCTCGACCCACCCATTCGATAGGCTAACCCTCACGAGCAAGGTTTGCGAGGATCACCGTAGTCAACGAGGATTCGGACACGTACGAGAGTCGCTTCTTCGCTGGACGACACTCATTTCTTCGTGGGACAACAGTAGTTTCTTCCTGGAACGAGGGTCGTTATGGCGCGGGGCGGAGTGAAGACCAATTCCAAGCGCACCGCTTGACAACCGTGGAGTCTAAGGTCTTGTGGGCCATTTTTCTGGAGTAGCCATATTATCTGAAATCCGACACGCCGACTCCAACGGCGCGCCGAACTGCACCCTGTCCTTCAATCAATAAATATTACATTATAAACGGCACAGCGGACCACGATTTCCGACCAACTTGCATTTGACACGAACGCTCGCTCATTTTTAATCGGCACGATTTTATCTAATGAACGTCGCTCCCTCAGTCATTTTTCCACTTCGAAGGCCACTTTGTTCAGCTTTCTAGGGGGAGCTCTGGAGCACCCAAAAGATAACTACTATCTTCTATGTAAAATTTCGTTGCTGATCATAGTATAGTTTATTCTTCTTTGTTTAAATCTCCTTACATCCGGTTCGACACTCATCAGCTCTGTAAGTTGTTCCGTTAACGTTTCCTCCTGTCTCCTTCCATCCATCCATGTCTTTTGTAGCCCATCAAACATAGTCTGCAGTGTCTGAAATCAATTACTTTCTAATATCCATGCTTGATTCCGCGCACCTGCTCGAATTAATAATTACTATTCCTACAGGTATAGAACTGCACAAATTAACATTTTCTACAACAGATTACACAATAACGTTATCGAAAGCGCCAATAAATGTGTGGTACATCTTAGACACAAGAAAGCGGTCCTTGGCGTGGACGAACTGTGGTTGTACCATGCGAGCACGCTGAGTCCACAGCGGTCACCTGACCGACGTAGCTTGCCGCTGGATGATAGCATCAATCGACTGAATGGCGACCCCCTTGGGTCCATGAACAAACTTCGATTGTTATGTATAAGCTTGATGACGAATTACCGAAAACATACGCTCACTTATTAAGACTTTTGATCAGTCAATGGGCTTTTTCAACTCAGATAAGAGTTAAACAATGTCTAGCGAATACGACATAACATCTAGCGATCTGACCATTCGTGATCAACCCAATAATATATACCCACACCGATGGGGACCTAGGACGGAGACATACATGCTCTCCTCAACTTCTCCGAACAAGTAGCTTACGTCACTGCAAAGGCCAGACAGAGCATTGGAATTTATCCGGAATATTTAAATGAAAAGAATCTATACTCTGCGCTAATGCATCACTTGTGCGACCCCTACTGGAATACTGCTCACTGATGTCCATGTACATAAACAAATGCGACTGCATCGCATTGGAAAATGGATGACAATCACAAAACGCTTTTACGTACCACATCGAAAATAGGATATTAGGAACAACATCAGAAATCCAAACTTGATCCCCTCTAGCTGAAACGAATGAAGCATAACTTAATCCTATTCTTCAACGTACTGTATAAGAAAATATGTTTCCAACCTTAGCATGGTAATAATACATTCATTAGTATGCAAAACAAGAAATCAGGAAACTTCCGCAGTGGAATGCAGGTCGGATAGCACCAGGTCCGCTATCTTCTTCCTTAACTGATATACCAAAAAATGAAAAATATTACCACCCGAAATACGTGTTGGCAATTCAGAGCACGAATCTGGCCTAAGGATCAGCAAATATTTTAAAGTACAAAACGTGAACAAGCAATTGAGGTATCACATAACAAATAGACAAACATACGTACAAGCTCAGGGTTCATATGACTAAGAAAGCTGTCTACAACAGAAAACGAACAGTGCAGTGTGTTAACCTCTAAACTCAGGGGCCTTCACCTTCTATATTTTACACGGCTATGTAAACCCCACGGTGGTCACCAATAAGTGGAGGAAGCCAACTGGACACACCTCTTCATGCGCCGTCTTCATCGTCGATGTTCTATGGTTGGTCGTATTACTTGAAGTGAACGTTTGGTTAAATCTGCATTGTTATTGTTCCCATTTTCTTAATCATTCTAATATCTTGAGACGACCAAGCATTTCGGAAACCCGTTTGGGATTCGTTATACAAAACAAGCACAAGCAACTATTGTATACGATCTCGTTGTACAGATTGACGAGACGGCTCAATTAGACTGTGCCTCGTATTGTGGAGGAATAAGTCGTTTATTTATTTAGTTACGTTGATTGTAGACTACTACTCTTACATTTCCCTTTTCTAGGCACCCTTCCTGCTCCAGTCTACTATGAATAACACAACCAACATTCGATATTCCTGAATGACTCTGAGCAAAGCAACCGCTCCAAATGCGTTAGAAAAAACGTAAATGCGTTATGTTTATGTTGAACCCATCTTCCCATCATAAAAAACAGCTTTTAAGTATTCCGTATTGATATTCACAAAAGGTCTATCAACCCCGATAAATACATCATGTGTAGTGCCAGACAACACGCTGAAACAATAATCAACATTTATGTCCTGTCAAAACTGAAAATCGATTTATATCATTGTTGTACATATTCCAATCACTAATGGTCGTTGCGCCGGAAGATGTTTTTAATAGCCTGGAGATGCGTCACGTTGAAAAAAATATAAAATTTATATTTTATAACTTACAAACGTTCAGCATAATTGCCAAGCAGACGAATCATGAAAAAGCCAGCATGACCGAGAGGTAGAGAAACTAGGTGAGAAACGTACCTTAATTCGAGTGAGCAAGGGAATGTGGCCATCATGTAGCCAATCGCTGGACACCTTCGGTTCAGGCACTGAAATGTTGCCACCAACCTCTGAATGAGCTTCGCCGGAGTGAGGTGGATTCAAAACCCCGGTGTCACCGTCCACTGAGTCGTTGAAATTGGATGACAGAAACTCATCACGCGCCAATACATGTTGCACCAGAGTTTTGGTAATGAGCCTTTTGAATTCCCGATTGTAAACCAAGGGCAACTGAAGCGCGATGCGGCTGAGGGTTGTGAGGCAGGTGACATAGTTACCCGAATGCGTCGGACACGACAGGCAATTCTGCGGGGGTTGTACGAAAGACAATAAATTACAATGAAAAAATGATATTCTAAGTACAAGACCAAGACTCATTAAGTGGTAGTACAGGTATCAAGACTGGCTGTGATGGGGGTCTTCAATCGGAATGAGAAAACCGGGCAGCAAAGAGGAAATGAATCTGAAGGATTCTTTCAACGTACGCAGCATGTGCTGTCAATCGCCTAGGCGCGTCCGCCTAAGCCGATGTCCGATAAGCATAGGGCGTCTGCTTTGTAATCCGCATGTCGCCGGTTCAAATCTGCTAAGGTGTGGATGACGATGACGCAGTTTCCCTGGATCGTGCGCAACTGGTGGTGAGGATAGCGAGGCGGCGAAGCGTCGGTACATCAGATCAGGCTTGCCAACGATGCATGTTTGTTAGCCTACAGACAAGCTCGTTACCTTTAGGCTACGGGCCGTTTCAGTGATTAATCGTCTGGCCAAATACATCACATTTAACTAGTTAACAAAGGATGGACTGAGTCATTGGAAAATAAAGGTATCGAAATGCCCAAAGTGAATGTTGTTACCCGGATGACAGCTGGCCATGGTAAAGTCAATGCCGACCTAAACCAAAAAGAAGGGAGCTAGCGACCCATTGTCTACCTGACACGTTCGAGTTCGTCGAGAGCATTAGAACTCAAAATGTTGACAAGCAACTATTTTTGCTCCATGTGACGTCATTGTTTATCAATATGCAGGTTAGAGAGATTATCTATTAGCTAACTGAATACATCGATCGCACAGGTAAGCAAATCGGCTTAACAGTGGAAGAACTGCATCATCAGTGTAGCTACAACATCCAATTTCGTAGTGCCGGAAGTTATACCGACAAGACGGGCTAGTTATGGGGTCACCACTGGGTCCCTTATACGCCGACGTGTTTATGGTCATACTAGAGAAGGGTATGCTAGGTGAAATGATGGGGTAGCTGCCATTCTATAAACGCCATGCCGATGACGTGATGTGCATAGCCGACGACTGCGTAGACCAAGTTGAATTATTACAGAAATTCAATCGGACTCACCAGAATAGTTAGTTTTGCATGCAACCTGTCTGACTTTCCTGGATATTCAAATGTCACGGTTCAGTGCAGCATAGAATCCAAAGGAAACCGATGTGGATGAGTCAATATACGCATCTGGATAGTTTCGTGCTAATTCGACAAAAATCTAGCGCAGTGTCTCGTAGGGAGAGCGATGAAAATATGCTCCGACAGCACAATAGAAGCAGAGTGCGCCGTAATAAGAAACCTGTCCCTTAATAACGGCTATCCGCAAGCCTTCATCGATAGGAAAATGCGAACTGACTGTGTAGTCGTCAAAACGCTCACAGCAGAAAAGAAGCCCGCCTACTTATCGCTGCCATTCAGGTGAGACAACAATTCCGAAAACCTTAGCAAACTATTACGAGCGGCCGACATAAGCACGTATGGGGCCACACAGTTAGGCATTATCTTCACTGCCAAGCCAACGCTACAGCACCGGCTGAAGGAGAAACTGTCGGTGGACATCACCTCCTTCTGTGTGTATCAATTTACCTATTCCTGTGAGACAGGAAACATAAGTCGCATCAATCGAGAGGTTTGTCTGAACGTGTCCGCGAACATCACACAGCGTGGCTAAGCCGATGATAGTTGTGCACCTAGTCCAAATGCATCATCCTATCGTTATCTCTAAAGCCTTTCGTCTGATCTAACGCGTGAGGGGTGTCCATTCCGAGTTTATCAGATGCCGAATCCTTGAAATGACGGAGGCGATTGTGATTAGTCCAAACATTCCCCGTTGTGTGTGCACAAACAGCTGTCGCCCGAACGAATCTCACACACTTTGGGCATTTTGACACCTCCAATTTCCGGTGACTCAAGCCATCCTATCTTAACTAATTACATGTAACGCATTTGGCCTGATGATGAATCAGCGGAAACGCGCTTGTTTGCAATACCGCCTTTTCATGAATGAAATGGGGATTATTCACCATTTGAAACAAAAATCATTTCAAAACACAGCGACGTGGCGCACGGGATATCTAATTAAGTCAGTGCCTCGCTTCAACCTGGTGTAGAACAGCAATCCAAAGAATAAATGCTGACATCATGGGATTTATTAAGCCCGATTGGTAACTCGCCAAACCGAACGAATGTGAATTGAGAAATCGGCCAATGATACACCCTAGGCGCGATTTCGTAGCTTCGCTTAGCTACGTGCAAGTAGGATACAGTTATTTGACCATTAAGTGAGACTTGGGAAACCGAATAGCACTGCTTTTCCTGAAGAAACTAGAAATTACTTGCCCAACTCGCACACTCGAATAATCGCTAGCAGCGGTTGAAAAAAGTCGAAATCAGAATGACATTAGCAGTGCTTTTGAAATAAACTAGTATTTAATGCAGCGCGATACTTAAATACTCTTCTGGTTATCACTGTACTGTGTGCTTCCTTTTTTGCGTACATGCGTTCTGTTTCGTTAACAACACAGTAAAGCTTGCGTTACAGGAATAACATTACCACTGTGTGCCTATAGGCCCACAGCAAAGGGCTTTAGCCCTACAGAGAGATGGGCTGTGCTTCATAACATAACGATAGTTGAGTTAAGGACGTTAACCTTGAACGCACATGATGCACGCTGACTGATGGAGACATGCATTTCATCCGAATGGTTTATAGCAAATCGCAGAATTTACGGCCTATGGCATATTGGAAACGCACGATTTTTCGAGGATTTCCTGTAACGAAAAGCATTCGAATTAGTCATAATCATGCAACGAAAGCACATCCGGAAAAGCAATGCATGGCCGCCCCAAATTCTCAGGAATCGTCATTAGTATGCATCTTATTTGTTCCTTGTGGAGTTAGAGGTCGATGATTATCGTCGGACTGTGTTGGGTAAGTTTGGATTGTGTTCTGTATTTTTACGATAAGCGTATTTTCCCCTCATATACATGGTATTTGATGCTTCCGGGGCCATCCGATGGTCTGGCGAAATATGGTTGACGACATCCAATTCCGGATTTGACTGTCACTGCGGTCTCCAAGGAAACAGCCACCAGACGCCTGCGCCTACAGAGGGATCATAGATGACTTACACTGTACCAGCTACAGCTTCAACAACACATATGCAGTGTAAATCCGAAGAAACAAGACAAGAAGTATGTGGATGGAAGTCACACTTCACCAAAGAAGCAGGTCTACACTCTTATAACTTGCACTGTAGCAGCATTCCATGCAGTTAGATGGAGGAATCCCGTGTATCGGACGTACGCAAAGCGGTGACTGGACCGCAGGCCATTCCATCCTGGACCAATGGAACCACCTTTTAGTCTAGCATATTCACGAATACGGTGCACCCCGTCCCCCCAGCAACGTTTTACTCTCCTGGAGAACATAGTAGGGGTGAAGGGTGTTAGACAGGTACGCACCTTGTCAACATTCACATCAAGCAACAGCCAACACCCGAAATGCAATGAACTCAGCATGCAGGCACACGTACAGACCAACTGCAGCGATGTTGTAGCACACGTACCACATCAGCCGCCTTATAGGCCTGGGTAAGTAAATAGAATAGGAGCAGACGCTGCGCTGATGCTGATTAGGTAATCATCTAATGCTAATGTATTCGTCCCATCAGCTAACAAGGTACATGTCTCAAGCACACTAAGGAAAAGCACACGACGCGTTTCGCGTTATGGAGGCCCGTCAGTGGTGCACATTCCCTCAGCCTCCTAGTGGGGATAGAACCCATGACCGATATAGACTGACGCCAACTGGCCAGAAGCTTAAGCCACGGAGACATGGGGAAGGTTGGCTGGGCTACTTAATTTGCAAGCAAAGTGGAATATAGCAGGACCTACCTTCCACTGCCGCGCTGGTTACTTCCTACCACTGCAAGATGACAGTGGCCAGTCTCCGAGGTCATTAATTCCTTACATTAGACGTTAAGTCCTTAGCATTGGAAACGAAGAGGCCATATATATGGTTGGCGGCATCCGGTTTCGGATTTGCCTGTCACTGGCCTCCACGGGGACAGCCACTGTGGCAAGCCACAGGACGCCTGCGCCTACAGAGGGACCATGGATGGCTTGCGCTGCACCACCCACAGCTCCAACCACACACCCCATATCCAGTGTAAACCCGAAGGAATAAGACCGGGAGGCATGCGGATGGGAGCCACGTTTCATCAACGGAGCCGGCCCACACTCCTTCACAGGCAAACATAAGCACACTGTATTTGAGAAAACAACCGAACACAAGGCGGTGGCTGGACCGTAGTCCGCTCCATACTGAGTACATGGAACCACTCTTCGAGCCTAGCACAGCCACAAGGACCGTGCACCCCGTCCCCTCCAGCAACGACCAACTGTCTCCTGGAGTCAGTATGGACGAGATAGTGGGCAATAGACAAGTAGGCACCCTGTCAACATGCACATCAAGCGCAGGCACACCGGGAATATCAAGCAACAGCCGATCACTTGAAACGAAGTAATGAAATAAAATAAATTGAATAATGCATACAGGTACGGTGTATAGCGCGTTAGTCTTACGTTATATCTGATACTCACATTTGAATGGCCACCCAAAGGCGTGCGGCAGAACACACGAAAATAGGCTGAAAAATGTTTATTAGAAGGTTGCTAAATCTTAAGACTAAAAATAAGGCACCGGAAGATGGCTAGCTAGGGAGTATGTGATAGGGTACTGAGTGCGATCGGTGAACCGGAGTTCTTTTCGAAGTCTGTGGACAAAGTCCGGACGTTGTCGGTGTGTCTCATACAAATACGTGCACCATACAAACATGCAAACCAGTTACTTCCATAATACATGCGAATATTACGATTGTATAGTATTTAGGATTGATTTACACATCAATCGGTGGAATTTCCTGGTTACTACACAGCCCCCCTCCTAAAACGGAAACAGTGAGTGGTCTTTCGACCTACGTGAGGATCGTCCGTCACCAGCCAGCCTTTTGCGGACCAAGTGGTG